TAAGGAGGAATGCCACATCAAAATTTTATTTCATACATCTTTAAGACATCCCCTTTAAACTATGGTTTCAGCATTAAAAGGCCGATATAAGCTCTAAATTATTTTATAAGAATTTTTTCCAATTTTTCATAGAAAATGAAAAAAATATATTTGCAAATAAGATGTTTTAGAGTTAAAGATTTGCTATTGATACATATGCATAAAATGAATACCTAGTAAAATATGAAAACAAAAGCAAGCTGGACATTTTAATTTTTTTTACTAAAAAAAATATTTATGAAAATAAAACACATTATTTGTGAATATTTTCAAAACCAGAATTTTATAATAATTGGAAATAGATAACATTTTCTCAAGAATACTAGTTTGTTTAGGTGTAATACGGATTAAAAGGTAATTGAACTTGACAATCAAATAGATTTCTTAGGGGTAAATACATAAAGAAGGCGATAATAATTATTTTATTTATTTTATGTTAATTTTGATCGGGATCAGTTTCATTTTGATCGGGATTGATTTAAAAATATTTACAAATTATGTCTTTTATTTTCCTAAATAATTTTTATTTTAAAAAATTAAAATGTATGTCCAGCCTCTCTTAACACATTTTATTAGACATTCATATTATACATTTACTAATAGCAAATTTTAAACCATAAAGCATCTTTGCAAATGAAACATTTTTTTCATTTTCTCAGAAAAAATACTCCCCCCCCCCCAAAAAAAAAAATATCTATAAAATAATTAAGAGCATCAGTCTTTCAATGCTGAAACCATAGTTTAAAAGGGATGTCTTAAAGATCTATTAAATAAAATTTTGGTGTGGCATTCCTCCTTAAATTATGAAAAGGACTGGGGGTGATGGGGAAGGAGGTAGAGGACATGTTAGAAATTCCATAACTCATCTTTTACTGCAGTGCATGATTTGGAGACAAGCCAAGGCCATCTTTAAAAAAATGTTTGTTAGCCCTCTCCCGACCGACTGGCTAAAATGGCCCGCAAAATATTTTTTTTTTCTTTTCTCACCCGTCCACGTGTATGTTGAAATTTTCTTGGGGAAAAAAATCTCCACCTACCTACCGACCCATTTTTTAACCCTGAGTCGGGAGAGGGCAAGCAAACATTATTTTAAACATGGCCCAGTCTTATTTACAATAAATTATCAATTCCGTTCTTAAAGTGTAAAATAATAGAGCCATTCAAATATATATATATATATATATATATATATATATATATATATATATATATATATATATATATATATATATATATATATATATATATATATATATAATTATATATATATATATATATATAATTATATATATATATATATATATATATATATATATATATGCCGAACCTCCCCAATCCCGGGATTAACGAGTATCACATCTCATTTCTAAAAGTTTTATTATATGATATTGTGAAAAAGTAGGGGGGGGGGGGTCAAATTTCTTTGGGGACCATTTTTCAACGTGAGTGGAGTCGTTTAATTACCGGCCTGGAAGGGTTTTCTACGGTCGAAAAATGACCCTACTTAAATTGTTGTAGAATATTGACCCAGGATCATTTTTCTACGTCGAAATTTGACCCCCTGGTCAATATTCTACGGGGGTCACTCTTCGTCGTTACACCGGCAAAGCCTATGGACCTCTCTTTTTTTTTTGTAAGTCTGAGGGTAATCAGTGCTTTTCTTTTACAAGATTTAATTAAAATATTCCGTAATTCTAACGGGAGATGGAATGAAAAGGAAATTTTGGCAAACTGAATATACTATAAGGAGCAAACTCTGAGACGGATGTAAATTTTATCAGGGAAACATACATGTATTAGTACTAGTTGATTTAAAAGGTTGTATCTCAGTTTGTCAAACTAATTTTTTTTCTTTTTTTGCTTAATTGTTTCGACTATATAAAAAATTCTAGTATTCTTCACAAATGAAAGTACGTTTTTTCCTTCATTTTTATAAAGATCAGGGTCACGTTTTACAAAAAGACTGAGACCAACGATTTTAGCGGATTTTAACATTATGCCTAGCTAACTTTGTGTAAAATTTAGCAATTTTTGAACTTAAAGAAATGTTTAAAAGGAGACAGTATTTTCTACATTTCCATACAAATTGGTACATCACGAGGGTTGTCCAAAAATTCCATAGACTGAGCTTCTATCTTTAACAAACAAAGGTAGTCAAATATTACGAACCTCGCCTCGACAAATGTTATCTACATGTAAAGCAAATTTCACACCGCTTGTTTTTCTAGTTATCAATATCCATGCAAGGATGGTTTAAGTAAAGTACAGTTACTCTGGATTGGACTTGCTCCAAAAACTTTAACCTGTTCACTGAACCAGACAATATAGGTCAGCATCTGACACAAGTCTGGTAGTGTCCACCCAAAGTTGCAATCATAATCATAATAGGCCATATAGTTATAGAGCTACTCGAAAAACATCATCTGGAAAATGTAGGTCAGATCTAGCATCTGAAACAAGTCTGGTAGTGTCCATCCCTAGATGCATTATTTCCGACATTCTGAGTAGGTAATACTTTTCGGAAGATTTTAAATATCATGTACCGACTTTTTATTGCAATTCTTGGGTACTGCGCCGCCTTCTACACCAGACAATGAAAAATATTGTGTTTAAATACCAGGGTTCATCTGAGTAATTAATGTTTGTCAAAAAAAATTACTAGTTATTGTTGGTTTTATATATGTACAAAATTTCATTTTATGACACCGATTTTCCCACAAAATCACGCTTGTCTACGGAATTTTGGGACAATCCTCGTATAACATGAAATACTTGCATTATCATATGAGATTTTCCCTTTGATGTGAGTCCAGTGGTGCACATATATATTCTAATACAGCTATGTAAACCCTACATTGTTTGTATTCATTTATGATCATTTCTTTACAATATTTGTTTTCATGCCTGAATCTTTTCGACACCCTTAAGACGACCTCTTACTTTTTGTCTGTATTTGAAAGAATTCAAATTCCGCTACTTAAGTGACCAAAGGTAGGATGAGAAACACCTTGAGATTTTGAGGTCATCAGTTAAGGTCAATGTAAAAATTAATTTTTACATGGAAAAATTTTTGTGTGGTACAAATAATTGAGTATATTTCAACATAAAGACTTTTTAGACACTTCTTTATCTTCTGATACCACTTGCTTAAAGGTCACAAGGTCAAAATTATCGATTTATATATACTAGTGTATATACATATACATGTAAGTATGCTGCTAAGCCTGTATTTAATTTTCTAGTATATATCCTATAACTCATAGTGAACTTTACGGTCTATCTTATGCTATCTTTTGAATTCTCAGGCTTCTTGTATTCATAATAACAGTGTTGCCACTACAAATTATTAAGCTTTGTCCGGAAAAGTTGTGGTGGTGGTGAGGAGTGAGGGTGCACTTGTTCAGAAGCCTTCTCAGAATATTAAATTTTAAGTAATGTTTCAAATATTTTACGATTGTTGATATTTCCAATCTTTCGGCACGAGCATCACTGAAGAGAAATAATTTGTCGAAATGCGCATCTGGTGCATCAAAGTTGGTACTACATTTAAGATTTACATTATGACCCCTGGGTCGAGGCATCTGCTGGTGGATTAGTCCCTGAGGGTCTCTACAGCCCAGTAGCAAAGTACTTCGGTGCTAGCTTGAAAATACGGATATATATTATATTGCTGTGGTAAAATTTAGAAATTTATTTCAAAATTAAGGATTATCTCCCTCGTGCTCCGATCCTTCGACGTATTTAGCTCCAGTCTTTGGCACCCCTTTTTTTGCTCTACAAGTTTTTTTTTTTTTAATTTAAATGTTTCGGATTTCCAACATTTCGGCATGAGCATCACTGAAGAGACATAATTTGTCGAAATGTGCATCTGGTGCATCAAAATTGGTACCGTATAAGATTTGCAATATATATATATATATATATATATATATATATATATATATATATATATATATATATATATATATATATATATATATATATATATATATATATATATATATATATATATAGAATTTAAAATGGCAAAAATAGAAAAAAAAATCTGTCGACCGCCGATACCGGAAGTCCAAAGACGCCAGGATAACAAGCGGCCACAATCATGTATGACAAATAAAATATATTTTGCTGACACTCTCGCACTTTTCTCGGGTTCTAGGAAAAAAATGTGAATAATCATAATCACTCAGGCCTTTTTTAAAAAATGTTTGCTTGCCCTCTCCCGACTCAGGATAAAAAAAAATGATTGGTAGGTAGGTAGGGGGATATTTTTAAAAATTAAAAAAACACTTGCGAATATGAAGTTAGAATAGTTATTAATAGGTGGGAAAACTTCGGAATGAATTTAAAAAAATGTTTTCTGGATGTCAAAAAAGGTTTTGATTCGGGCTGAATTTAGTCAGTCGGTCAGGAAGGGGCAAACAAACAGTTCTTTAAAGATGGTCTCAGTCAAAATTGTGACAAGCAGACAAGAGGTGAAAAGACATACAATTGTTGGTATTTCTTGAGAGCGGCCAAGTTGCACTCGGTTTTTAGATTAAAACAAACTCATATTTGAAAATAATATTATTTATTTCTCAACAACAAAAACATGCATCATGCAAATACTATATATAAATATAAACTTACTGAAAGAATAAGATGATACAGATTGTGTAAGAGTAAGAATAAATAATGACCAAACAAAAACTGTTATTTAATTTTCAATTAAGAATATTAATCTTTTTCAAAACGTGAAAGGAAAGGTCCCTGGCATTACTAAAAGTAAGAATTCATGAAATGTTGGGTCTCAAAAAATGTCAAGAAAACTTTAAATTTATAAAATTATGAATTTATAAAAAGAAAATGATAAACCTGTTTGTAGAGAAACGTGTAAAATTGTAAATCTCAAACCCATCAAAGGCATATTTTTATTTATAAAAACCAAACGAAAAATAGAATTAAAAAAAAAAAATGAGGAAAAGGTTTTATAAGGTTAAAATGAAAAATACCAGTGAATCAATATATGAAATGCAATTTTAAAAATCTTCATCGTCGCCAAGTTCATCACAGTGTTAACTTTACCAATTAAAAATAAAAAGGTTGTCCAGCCTAATAAAGGCAAATAAAACTTTGCCAGCAAAGGAAAAAGGAAAAAAAAAAATAAACATCTGCAAAGCATGCAGCAAATGTGTTTTATAAATATATACACTATGTACAGCAGTATACATAAGGCCCCATAAAAATGCAATATGAATGAGGCGCAGGTAGCAAAACACCCAGTGGTAATGTGATGGTCTACTTGTATCTCCGACATTTGTCGACCATTCCACCCATGCAGACATACCCTGCAATAAAATGAAAGGGAAATATATTACATGTAAGATAATATATATGCGTAAAACAAAATACTAAAATATTTATCAAGCTGTACATGTTTACCTAAGGGTAAAATTGAGTATGGGAATCAAGGGTCTTGTTGGAACAATTATTAAAATTGATGAGAATCAAGAAAAATGATAATTATTATTTTTTTTTTTTAAATGGACGTCAAACAAGTTTGGGTCCTTTCTGTAATCTTTTTTTATGTGTTATTGCTTAAAAACAATGATAATATTCTGAAACAAGCAAACTAAACCTATGTATTGCTCTGAGTTTCACTCATAAGGAAGTAATATTTTCAATTTTTATGGTATCATTTTTTAAAGCAAATCTAAAAAGATTTGCTTACACAGTTATTTGGTTGTTAAACTCACCAATACTAGTCTCCGCTTTAGTAAACATAAAAAGAGGAATCTAGGTCTTGTTTCTTGGAAACTTTATGACATCTCTGTTGAGGTATGTTACGTCGCATGGATCTGTGCTCAAAATTGACTCTTGCCAACCACTCCATCTAGATAAGAGATATTCATTTTATAAATTTCAGACAAATACGACTCACAACCGCCCAAGAAAATAGTGATGATAATTTGATGTTTCCCCACTTAATAATAAAAATAATAAAAAGAATGTTTGGAGTGTTTATTGCTAGTATCTTGTTCAGACACTATGAATTTGAGCCCGACATGTACCTGATGCGTAGGTTGAGGTATGGTAGGTAGCTCCCTACGCTCCTCAGACTTGTTGATGGCATGGGTCAACTCATACTAATAAAAAACGAAATTTATTAAACGTAGAATTATTAAAATAACCATAAAAAAGCAATTGGACATTAAGATAATTATATATACATTTTAATGTTTTTCATCCGTAAAGTGTAAGTCTCAGGGTCTTACCCAGTCTTTAATGTGCTCTCTCCATGTGTGAGCAGCAGAAGTAAAGACTTGTTTGCACTGGAGATAAATTATAGAAGCTATAGATATTTACTGAAAGGACAAGGAGAGAGAGAGAGAGAGAGAGAGAGAGAGAGAGAGAGAGAGAGAAGAGAGAGATAAAGACTTACAGCTGATTTGGCCGTCAGGGCAAGCATCACCTCGTACCACTGACGACTGTCATCTGAAGAGACGTCTATACAGCGCTGGAATTAAAAGTAAATGTCCTGATTATATATTCTATAAAGGATGCAAATTGTGAAAATACACTGCATCACATTTATCAATCTGCAACGTATAACACATATCTTTAACTGCAAATCGGAATTTTATTAATACGTAAACGTTGAAAATATTATAAACCGTGCAAAAAAAAAAAAACCTATGAATCTAAGTAATAGGTTTCTTTCTTCATTTCATTAATAATATTCGGTGGGTTTTTTAGGGGGGTGGGGGGGGGTGTTTTTTTGTTTTGATTTGTTTTGGGTTTGTTTTTGTTTGTTTTATTTGGGAGGGGGGGGGTGTTATTTAATTGTCACGAATTTATTTTTATTGTTTATATTACTATTTAAACAATTTTATATATAAGTTTATATTAATCAAAACTCGAATAATTAAATAACATAATCATTGTTGAAAGGACATGAGGTAGCAGTGAGTGCTATTAATAATTTTATTAAATTTTATACTACGCTGAAAATGATTTTGGAACGCCCTCCCTAGAAAAAGTGGATCCTCTTAAGATCTTTAGAAGATCGTTGAACACTCCACTTGAATGAAGTAAAGAAAGAGTTTGTCTTTATGATAGTTACCCCCCCCCCCCCCCACCCCTTCCCCGAAATATTTCGTATTTTGCGATTTTTCATTTTATTCTTTTTTCTGTCAAATGAAAAAAAAATTAGTGGAACGTTTTCCTTTTTACGACTGAAAATGGACTTCTCAAAGAAAAAAAAGATTCTTGACTTGATATCATACATCCTTATAAGAGTCAACGGGGAACAACTCTATTAACGATTCTTACTCAGTACGCTCCCTTTTGTTTACAAATTTTTATGAGCTGCAGTGAAGGTTTCCAATGAAAGGAAGGATTATTCCAATAACAATTGTCTTATCAACATGATCAATGAAAAAAGTAAGTAAAATATGACCTAAACTTAACACAGGTGAAACTACAAATGTAATAGCAACATTTGAGAGTAAAATGAGGCATTCTTAGTTTGTCTATCCCGCATTTCCTCCGGTTTAAATTGTAATCTTGGGGGAAAAAAATAAATAATCCCTACTATTTGATTTTCAGTTACATATTTTAATCATTTGTTAATGTGTGAATCTTATTTATTTCCACGTTACACAGTATTCTTATGTATTATTAATTTTTTTCTTTAAATACTGCCGATATCATTCCCTTAACGTTACATTTCATGATCTGAACGGCGTGACCCCCCCCCCCCCCCTTTTTTTTATTTTACATGTGTGTAGATATGCTTGTACATGATGTATTTATTTTCATAACCATAAGATTTTACTCCAATGAAAGGAAGGAAATGTTTTTGCATTAAACATGATAGAGATTTAGAAAATCCTATATCCTCTTATAGGCCCTTTGAAGTAGCCTGAAGAACAAAATGCCACTGGCCACTGTATCACAAACACAAACATTAAAGACCAAGAAAATTTTATTTCCTGAAGAATTACCCTCTTAGACACACTCTTGCTCTTTTTCTCAGAAGATCTTTGTCTTTTCATAGTGATATTTGAGATTTTTTTCTCTCTGTGAAAAACACGTCTACTCGCTACTGATCGAAGTGAGTAACTAACAACAGTAACCAAAACGCAACGCTACCTAGCAGTTACCAAGCATGACGTCATCGCCAATGACAACGCTTAAGCTAAATATAGTTGTAAAATAACTGAAATCATTACTTTCTTTGTTTGCTTACCTCTGATGTCTCCTAAGTAAGACCTTTTACAAAAAAATGGCTATCAATCATGTCAAAACATTTACAAAGTTGACTGTCTTGTGACGTCATACAGCTGTGAATTGTGGTAGTCTAGTTCCTACTATTTTTGGTTAGCGTAGCTGTATATAGATGCTATTTGAACATCTCTAGGCCTATCACAAAATTTACAAAAAACCCCAAAAAACAAAACAAAAACTTAAAAATCGTTTTTTACTCATGCTCAACGTATAGACAAACTGTGTTTTATGGGTCCAGGATTCAGAACACAGGGATAGACTAATCATCATGCATTTGCATGTACAGTACTTTCTTTAGTTTCCTTCTAGATAGCCTATTTAAATTCACGAACTGTGGGTTCTGGTACTAAGCAAAGTAACTGAAATATTGAAAATACATTATATACTACTATATTATACTAGTATTTGAAAAGCAGGCAATCTAATTATATGAATGATACTAATAAGCAGTTAGCCTTCTATACAATTTCAAATTCATGAACTCTGGGTCCAGGCCACATATTTAATTGCTTATTTGGTTAAGGATTCAAATTAGTTTTTGTCTTCCACTTGATTCGATACACAAGAGCATTGTTCTAAAATTCTAAAACGAGGCAGCCATTGACAAATAAGTTGAATTTACAAGGATATCAACAATCTCGTTTAAAGTCAACATTTCGCAAATTCTATATATAAACGAAATTTCGCAAATTCTATAAATAAACGAATGATGACTGACATTTTTTCATACAAATTGTTAGGCCATTATTTTCACACTGAATATTGTCTACGGATTGTTCAGGTTTTGTTCCGTTTTCCCGATCACGACAAGAAGCACAGGGCGGGTGTGACCGGTCGACATGGGCATTTATTTTTCATCCCGCCAGTTCTAGTAATATTGCATTTTAAACTTACAGTACGCAGAATATTGCATTCTTTTTATAACTCATTAAAACATTTAACCTACCTATAATGTACTTAAACACAAACAAATTTTAGTACAGTTCCTTTGTTAGTATATGTTTTTGTACTACTATATACGTATATCTTTACAAAACATTAGGACGCAACAATTACCGATGGAAGGCTACAAATTTAGATCTAGGTCTATTTTCGGCATTTTCGGCCACTGAGTAGTAAGAGATCTTTTTGTGCCAGCATTTACTTCGACATGGGGCATCGGTTCATAGTTTGTTCAGGGTGAGTATCAAGTTTTACATTGACCTTGGAGAAAGGGTAGGCCCTAAATATGCAGTCAAAGTTTTACATGTAAATAATTAAATAGAAAATTTATTAAAAATATTTTTCTGAAGAACAGTAGGGTTAATTGAACTAGGTAAGAGATGTTTCCCATGATCCTCTATTATCATACCCCCCCCCCCCCCGCGTGAAAAGCGACGGTGTATAGTGATTGGGGTGTCCGTCTGTCCCTTATGCTTTGGGGTACCTTTCTCTTATCTGCAACTCCTCTTATACCACTGAATAAATTAAATGAGACTTTCACAGAATCTTTGTTACATACATAGAGCCATAATGCACGTCCTGTTTTACTTTTTGATCAGGCATAATTCGGATTTCCCATAGCAAAACAGACACTGCAATTCTTTCTATAATATGAGGGGTGGGTGGGGTGGGGTACCTATTTCATATCCGCAACTCCTCCTATACCACTGAATAAAATTTAATGATACTTTCACAGAATTTTTATTACACTGTACCGTTGTGCACCCCCTTTTTTAATTTTGGTTGGACACATTTTTCAGGTTTCCCTTAGCAAAACATGGACACTGCATTTCTTTTTATAATACTCTAGCATTAGGGGTACCTATTTCTTATTTGCAACATCTCCCATACCACTGAATAAAATTTAACGATACTTTCAAAGAATCTTATTACATAGTGCCATTGTGCACATTCTACTTTATGTTTTGTTTGGACAGATAGTTGCGATTTCCCATGGCAAAAAATGGACTTTGCCATTATACTTGTATGGGGTATCATTTTGTTAGCTCAGTGCTCACAGTGCCTCTATTTTAGTCTTACACTGGTGGCATAATTCATACAAGATTTGCGTATTATTTATGTCATTGAGTACGCATTGCTTGACATACATGTACATGTGCCTTCAGAACCCTATAGAATATAAGAATTGCTTGCTTGAAATAACGATTTGACGTTTTCTATTTCATTTTTTTAATTATGTTTTGTCAGAAATACTACATCTCTGATAATTTAATCTATATTTAAAATCTTAATTACAAAGCGTATTTTACAAGAATATATATGAACAGTATATTGATCCATATTGTCCATGTTTGTGCAAGACCCTGAACAAGATTTAGTCACATTAAACAAGGTTAATTAAAAGATTCTAAACAACATCCAGCCAAAGACCCCAATATAAATTTCTTTTGAGGCTAAACAAACGTACCGGTATTCAACCGGAAACTGCAACCAGAAGCTTTGAGCATCAATCTCGAGCACAAAACGAAACAGCGAGAGCTTTAAATTTTATAGGATTCAGTTAGTGAGATCAGGACTTTTAGTACTAAGACTGAAAATGACATACAACCTTTATGTAAACTCAAAGCAGGATTCAAGTAAATCTACAAATAAATTCCAATCAGAGGTTCCAACAAGACTGAACCAAAACCTCAGATTAAGATTCAACTAAAGACTGGAAACAAATACAACCGGTTATACAAAATTAAGGTTCTGACTTTTCAGTTTGCAATAACAATATCCGAGCAAGATTAAATTAAACCGAGGTCTCCAGATAAATAAAACCAAATTCTCCAAGTACGATTTTTAAGATTCAGCCAGATACAGTAAAACAAGGTTTAAATAGAGCTTTCAACTAAAATACAGTTGAATATCCCCCCAAAAAATGTTGATTAACATCCTGGAAATATTATTATTACCGCTCAAAGCAATTTTTTTATTATGAGCATGCAGTTTTGTACATGTTATTTTCTGTAAACCTAGAAAATATTCCTGTTTCGTGACTAAGAATTGGAACATCATAACAGCATTTACATGTAAAACTATTGTAAAGGCTATGAATCGAATGCAAAACAGAATGAAGGAAACATAAAATTAATCGAGTGTAGCAGATAAATCCAGTAATCACTCCCCGAAATCCTCCCCTCTTCCGTTAACTTTTTTTTCTTGCATCCTTATATTTTACGTTCTTGTTTTATGTTTCATTTTCCAATTTTACGTTTCATTGATTATAAAATATGTATTGGATATGACAAATCAGGTTAGTTTAATTGCGGACCACGCTTGTTTTAGTATCATTTTAAATCCGAAAATAAGAGGAGCTATGTCGGTCCTTGAATATTATGTAGTAAACGTCTTTTAAAATATTTGAAATTTCCTGTTACCATTAACGCGTATACTCATTACTCTTGCATAAGGAATAGTATCATGAGCATATCGATCTTATAATAATCGTATGTTTTTTCCCTTCATTTTTCCATAGTATGTATATCTTAAACAAATTTAACCAGAGGTTTTCAAAAGTGAAGTTGTTGTATCTCCCAAAAGTCGTTCAGTGATCCTAAGCTTTAAGAAATATCTTAATACACCACAACATTCAGTATATATTTAAGACTTTTCTTGTTGTGGATGATGAATATGGTTTTGATAAAGATGATGTTTTCTTCGTTCTAATGACACATTCCCTATCTGAAATTTGATCATTTCAAGGTACTTTAGTTTAATACTGTAAAAAGGAAATATGAAGATAACGAACAGTAATCAAGATCAAAGGTCCATTGAAACAATACAAATTTGAAGCATAGCAAACATCAGAGGTGGGATCAGGTGTCATGGAGGAGTAAGCATCCCCTGGCGACCGGTCACACCCGCCGTGTGCTCATTGTCATGATCGGTAGAACAGAAAAATCCGTAGACAATTCAGTGTGAAAGTAAAGGCCTAACAATCTGTATAAAAAAACGTATGTCAACATTTGACTGAATCATAGATTTTATTTGCTAATAAAGTCGTTATATCGACCATAGAATTTGCTACATGTTGACTTTTAATGAGACTGTTGATATTCCTGTTTCATCAGCTTATTTGTCAATAGCTTGCCTCGTTTTGGAAATTGTTCGTACGTAGAGCATGATCTTGCATATCGAATTAACTGGGAGCCATAAACTCCAGATGATAATGGTATATTGCTACATAAATAAGGGAAGTTGACGATAGAAAAAAAGAAGTCATCACGTTTATCATGAAGATTTGTTGTAAGGTTACCATTAACGTCTTTTTTCTAGTAAAATATCAAAGTATGAAACAGATGAGTCAGACTCTGTGGTATCTTTTATTTCGAGTTCAAGGGGATGTGTCGAATCAAGGTAGGAATGAAAATGAATATTGTTAATTGATAAAACGTCGTCGATATATCTAACTGTTGAATGAAAGGCAACAGCAAGAGACTTCTGTTCATGTCGAAGTTTTTTTAAATTAAATTCTGCTTCATATGAATACATAAACAGGTCTAGTAATAAGGGGATGCAATTAGTAATGGTACCCATGGAAATTCCGACAGATTGTTGGAAAACTTGATCTCCAAAAACTACATAGATATTGTCAATCCGAAACTCAAGCATCTTTTCAACTTCGGAGTATTTGTGTGTACAATCAGAATGAATTTTAACAAAATAATTTTGCAAAAGAGCAATGACAAGGTATGTAAATTTACGAGTTCCATATTCATTGAAAAATCAGCTGTCCATGATGTAAAAAAAAGCCTGGACATCATTTTATTCATGTATTTATAAATTTTTGAGGAATGTAATTTATATACACTGATTAAATGCCTTTTTATTTTAGTTAATAATCTACATCCGATTTATTGTTCATGTACAATATAAAACATTGTATCCTGGTTAAAATAAACTAGCCAAAGGCTTTCATAAGACCTTAATTGTGAGAAAAATACATTTTGCATGCATAGGTATTTCTCAATTACATGAACTACAGGCGCGGATCCTGGAATTTTCTCCAGGGGGGTGGGGGGGGGGGGTCTACCCCAGTTAAAAAAAAAAACCCAGAAATTTCTTGACAAGCAAAATTAAAAAAAAAATCCAAAACAACAACAACAACACGTAAAATCCATTTCCCAAAGGTGAAAACAACATATTTCATGGTGGTGATCGTGGGATCCACGTTTTCTGGGGGATCCAAAGTTATTCTTTATACCTGTATGTTTCAGTATATACTTTAAATAACTTTGCAAATCCCCCCCCCCCCGACTCCTTCTCTAGATTCGCGCATGTACTAGTGTACCTTTAAGGTAAACCTTTCAGAATATAAGCAGTTCTTCAAGTGCTATTTAACGATTCTATTTCGTTATTCTGTCTCATGATCTAATGTTGTCTGCCAGATAAGTATTTACATGTATATATGTTATTTAAAGGATCTGAATCGATTGCAAGAGAGAAAGAAACATGAAACCAAAAGAGTGTAACAGCTAAATCCTGTAATCACTTCCCACAATCATTCTTTCTTCCGTTAACCGTTATTTCTCGTATTCTTATTACAATTTTTTTTTCCTGTTTGATTTTCCTTTTTTATGGATCATTGATTACATTATTTGTCTTAGATATGTTAGAATCATTTGCTTCCGAAGAATTTTTTTTAATGTTCAACAATTTTTTTTAAACAGAAAATGAAAGAGGCTCTGATGGTCTATAAATTTCAAATTTACACATCTTGTAAAAGCAATTCAATAGTTTCCTGTAACCATTAAAACTTGGTTTGTTTACGCGCGTAATCATTATCTTTGAAAATTAAGGATTAAAATCAAGGGAATTTCGATCTTATAATGAACGTATATTTTGTTGATATTTGTTATGATAATATATGATTGTTGTATATATGTAAAAGTAGATTTGATTTTCACAATTACACGTTATCGATTGTCTCAGTTTGACTCTCTAATTTCAAGTTTTAAAGTAGGGTTCAATATCAATTCCACCATTTTTCAATTAATGATGTCTACGTTCACGCCTAAAATTCCATCGATCAATGAACAGCTCTACGAATTCTCTGTTTAATGTTTAGGAATATTTATTTTACTCTGCATTCCGAACCTGCGATGGCTCGGTAATGGATATCTTACAGTAATGTAATACAAAGCTTGTGATTGTTTTGAAATCACAAATTTTCTTCTTTTTTTATTTCTCGTTATTTACGATGCTAGATCAAGTCGAAAGTTTTCATATCATTGCAGATTTTCAACACAAATTTTGAGGTAAGGAAATTTATATTTAAAAATATTTTAAAATATTTATCTTTTTTCCTTTAAAATTTTTTATTGAATAATATAATCTGATAGAAATGCCTTTTTGTTATTGCTGAATTTGTTATTTTTTCTTGATGTAAAAAAGTAGGTACATAATTGTTTAATCTGTAACTTCAACAGCATTATACGTGTAATTTTTTCATTGGAACTAAAATCAAAGGTGATTTTGAATTTTTAAAATGTGTCAAGTTTTCATTCTAATTTTTAATAAATTCTTTTGGGCTATCCAAACCCATTAACTCCTGGATAAATTTCCCAATGAACAAAAGACCTTAAAAAGAGAATTGTTACTATATGTTTTATAAAATGAACACTCATTTCATTTCCGTGATAAAATCTTTAGTTTAGCAACCTGTAAAATGAATTCAGGCGGCTTGGGTTGCGATATCTATGTACATATTTGGTCTTGTAACTTTAATAGTTTCTTCAACAATTTAAATGCCTATAAAAACCAGAAAAAGTACTATGTGGTCGCTATCGAAATTCTAGTTAAGACACTGTAAAACATATATTTAACAGTGGCGGATCCAGAAGTCTACGTGGGGGGGGGGGGTTGAGGCCCGTAGGGCCGAAGGGGGAGGGCATGGGAAGGTGTGTCCCCCTCCCATAGGTGGGGGTTCGGGGGGCCTCCCCCGAGAAATTTTCTTCAAAAATGGCTCCAAATGGTGCATTTTCCAGCATTTAAGATTGAATTAGTTAGTTTTTGGTCACTTTTTTCTTAGTTGTTTTTCAAGACCGACCTACCCACATTTTCAAGAAATTGAACAAAAAATTAAAATTTTGGGATTATTTTTAACTTCCATGTTAACTTGAAAAATGAGACTTTTCTAAAGAAAAAATTAAATGTAAAATCTGATAAAATTAGAAATATCGCCATTTGCTATATAATATCCAAATCCTTCATTTTAAAATGCACGTCCAACACACTGCCGCATGTGAAGCTTTGTCTTCCAAAATACAGCCGCATGATGTGCAATTTGCAATATATACACATAATGATATTTCATATTGAAGAATAAATATAGAATATTTTGGAAAATAATTGGAATTATTATATAGTCTATAAATAGTCCCTATATAATCTATACAAACGCAAACGGTTCATAATACTACATATTCACTGGATTTGAAGCCGTATTCACCGGAGGGTCATTGCACGTGCAGCGTCATTGTGACGTCACAATCAATACTTCGAACAACGTTGAAAACAATGGTTGCAACGGACGGAGTCAGCTGTATATCTGAGCAGGAAAATTGTTAGACAATTCTATCGCAGGATTATTTTCCAAACATTTCGATTTCTTACACACAGCGAAAGGAAAGCACGGAAGTTACAAGTTGTAATCTATACTTTTTTTAAAATTTTGTTTACGACAGAACTTCGTTAATGAAAATGGAATCGTCATGCAGCCTTCAATGTCTTATTCATTCAAATTCTGACTATATAATAAAACAATTATGGACTCTTTTGGTGGTGAATATGGTTTGTTATTCACCAGAAAAATATCAATATTGACCTCGGCTTCGCCTCGGTCAATATTGATATTTTTCTGGTGAATAACAAACCATATTCACCACCAAAAGAGTCCATAATTGTATATTATTGCTTCTTCATGGGGGGGGGGGGGGTAATTATAATTTCTAACATAAATGCACTCTTTAATTCTATTTTTTTTTTACCCACTTACCTGCCCAATGTTTGAAAAAAAAGTCTTGAAAAACAATCAATAAAAAAGTGGCCAATTCTTGTTTTGACAGGACCTCTAATTTATACGTACAATTAGTTTTACCACAATTCATTATACAAAGTTGTAACCGTTAGTTGGGTTTTATTCAACATCATTCAACAGTAATTTAAAAACAAGATGTGTTTGTGAAACACTATGCCCCCGCATGGCAGCTTATGTCGAAGGTTAAAGTTTCTCAAATGCAAGTCAAAATCCAGGCCAAAAGATAAAAAATGTTGATACCCAAAGAAAGATCTTGTCTCGAGGAAAACACCTGTGGAATTTGAAAGACCTAGATACAACTGTTCAAAAGTTATGGTGAAGGTTGAAGTTTTTTAAATAAAAGTCAAACGTCAAGGTCAAGGTCAAAGTGGTTGGTATCCAAAGGAAGATCTCGTCACAAGGATTACATATGTGAAGTATGAATGCCCTAGCACCAACCATTCAAAAGTTATGGCCAAGGTTAAAGTTTTTCAAAAGTAGGTCAAACTTCTAGTTCAAGGTCAAAGGGTCAAAGTGGTTGGTATCCAAAGGAAGGTCTTGTCACAAGGATTACATATGTGAAGTATGAAAGCCCTAGCATCAACCATTCAAAAGTTATGGCCAAGGTTAAAGTTTTTCAAAAGTAGGTCAAACTCCTAGGTCAAGGTCAAAAGGTCAAAGTGGTTGGTATTCAAAGGAAGGTCTTGTCACAAGGATTACATATGTGAAGTATGAAAGCCCTAGCTCCAACCATTCAAAAGTTATGGCCAAGGTTAAAGTTTTTCAAAAGTAGGTCAAACTCCTAGGTCAAGGTCAAAAGGTCAAAGTCGTTGGTATTCAAAGGAAGGTCTTGTCACAAGGATTACATATGTGAAGTATGAAAGCCCTAGCTCCAACCATTCAAAAGTTATGGCCAAGGTTAAAGTTTTTCAAAAGTAGGTCAAACTCCTAGGTCAAGGTCAAAAGGGTCAAAGTGGTTGATATCCAGAGGAAGGTCTTGTCACAAGGAATACACATGTGAAGTTTGAAACCCTAAGCACCAACTGTTCAAAAGTTATGGCCAAGGTTAAAGTTTTTCAAAAGTAGGTCAAAGTCCAAGGTCAAGGTCAAAAGGTCAAAGTGGTTGGTATCCAAAAGAAGGCCTTGTCACAAAGAATACACATGTGAAGTTTGAAACCCCAAGCTCCAACTGTTCAGAAGTTATGGCCAAGGTTAAAGTCTCATAAAATTTTGCAAAAGTGGGTCAAACTCCAAGGTCAAGGTCAAAAGGTCAAATATGATGGTACCCAAAGAAAGGTCTTGTCACAAGGAATACACATGTGAAATATGAAAGTCATAGCTCCAACCAATCAAAAGTTATGGGCAAGGTTAAAGTTGACAACAGACAGACAGACAAACAGACAAACAAACAGACAAACAGACAAACAGACAGACAGGACAAAAACAATATACCCCCGGGATCTTTCGATCCGGGGGCATAAAAATGCAGATCTTTTGCTTTTTAAAATTGCATTGTAACTTCCATCTACAAAAGGAATACTTTCAATGTGCTGTTTGGTACAGGTCACAACGTATTTCAACTAGTATACGTCCCTGATGTATTAATTAATTTTTTTTTCTATTAAATAATAATCACAGTTTATTCACGTAGTTCAATAAAATAACATTCAATTATCGAAGAAAGAAGAAAATTCTCGAAACAATATTACTTTAGCCAAAACAAAACCGTAATAACTATGTGCAGTTTTGATTGTTAGTGTATGACGTTGGCTTCATCACTAGCTGCACGGACTATCATGATCTCTGCATGTACAGTACTGTTGATTACCTGTATATTGTGTGCGCTCAAGCGGAGAGGGATTTCGCATGGTGACTGTATATTTCACCTCTTTGTGTAAAACAATGGGCTTGGATAGAGTCGCATTTATGCAATATATTGTTAAAATGACGCTTGTAAAAAAAAAAATTTGATCGGGCGGGGGGGGGGGGTTCCCGAACCCCCTCAAACCCCCCTGAATCCGCCACTGTTTAAAGAAAATTACTACAGCGAGTGTAAGTTTCAAGTTTCTTTAGTTCCTCGAGCCAACTGCCTCATCAGAGTAACAAGTACATGCTATTAATAAGGAAAAGAATCATGCAGAGAGAGTGAACGTAAAAATACATTCATGAAAATAGTGTTAAACATTAATATTATTTTTTCATAACAGTGTGGCAGCATTTAAAAATTTGCACAAATTTAAAAGATTTTTGACATACTAGTACTAAGCAACTGAATTAATTTAAAGACACTAGGTTTAGAATAATGGTACTTTTTCCAAATAAATCTTTCATAGGTCGTTATATATATACAAAGGGCATTTCAAAATGAGATGAAATCGTCTTCTATATCATGAAGATTACAACATATACATAATCTATTAATCTAAGTTATGTTGCGGTGTCTATCTGTTTCAGCATTCAACATAAATTTTGTTAATAATCGTCTATATTTTTTTGTCAATATTTTGTTAAATATGATTTCAAGCAGAAATTGTCAATTAAATGTTAATGTAAATAACCCTTCGGAGAATTTTCTGTTACATTTTGCCTGCAAACATCTAAAAGTCGTTGTTTTATAATAGTGCTATAAGCTCTATCATTTGGCTTTCTGTCCAGATTTGACCTATTCCTAGACAAGTCAACTCTGTTTAATCTGTAAAATTCATTTGTCATTTCATAAAACCATATTTTCATAACAAGACATAAGAATACAATAATTGTTATTCTGAATTTGATCCAATTTTTAAATATTCTAAGTTTCATGGTTACAGCCTGTGGAAAACGCCCAAGGTCAGAATACATTAAGCTGTTTGAGGTTTTCTTACAACTTACAAAAATTTAAATGTATCCTTTTCTACATCAGAATATCAGTGGACATCAGTGAAAACCCAATAACTCAGATCCATAAAGTAATACACTACATACATAAGTGTTAAAAATTGAACATAAAATTTCTACATTAAAATTCATACTTCTTTAATCTACTTGAAATAGCAAACATAGCTTTTCTACCTTGTTCAGCAGCGTGTTTCTGCGTTTTTTTTAAATGCCATTAAAGTAAAAAAAAAAACACCCCAGTATTTAAATTCATTCACAATTTCTAATTCTGCATTGTTGTAGAACAGAGCTCGTTGATAAGTAATTTACCACCATTTCTAAAGACAACAACCTTTGTTTTTGTTGCATTAACAGAAAGACTCC